ACAGCAGAGTCAGCAGGGGGAGACAGACAGACAGACCTCACAGTAGCAGCGTGGCAATCAGAAGAAAACATAAGTGTAAAGTTTTCAAACACTTTGGAACATGTTTTAAAATGACTTGTGTCGATAGCTAAATATATATATGTGTGTGTGTGTGTTTATAAATAAAGTATAATATATGGGATTACATTTATATATACTAACACACTCAGATCCTAGATTGGAGTGGTTCATATGTGTTAATAACAGCCCCTAGTGGAGACAGGAGGGAATATTTTAAATGCATTTTTAAAGCATGGCTGTTGGATTCTATAGTGTTGAATGAAAATGAATCAAGATAGGAAGTAGTGAAGTACTGTATACACACGAGGTACTCCGAGAGGTCAAATGTAGATATCAGATTAGAATGACTGGTACTTTATTGATCTAAGGGGCGATATTCCTCAGTAAGATGATAAGGAAATGGAAGAAAAATGTGTGTGTGTGTGTGTGTGTGTTGAGGGGTCAAGGAGTATGCATATGATAGATATTCTTTTGGGGGACCTTTGAGCGGGGTCAGAACAGGAATACAGATAATATGGGATGTCTATAGAAAGTGCTTACACGGCACAAAAAGAGGGTGTGTGTGTGTTTTAGATATAGAGAGAGATAGGGAGGAGAGAGAGAGACAGAGAGACAGAGAGAGAGAGAGAGACAGACAGAGACAAGGCCAGGGAAACACAAGTGACTAAACCCACCAGCAGCTGGGGGAGTCTCCGTGGCTCAGTCAGCAGAGTCAGGGGTGAGGAAGCTGATGTACCAACAAGGATTTTAAGAGTCAGTGTGCAGAGGCAGGAGCAGAGAGGTGAAGAGAGAGAAGGTGAGAGGAAAATAGAATTCTGTACAGTACAGCGGCATTTTCAAGAAAGACTGAATGAGACACTGACACATAGTTGGCACTGTCTAAGCTGTTTGTGCCCCCTGCTGGCCCCCTGTATAGAGGACCAGAATCATACAGGGCTGCGTGCCTTGAATGAAATATGGAGGGGATTCAGTTCACACACACAAACAAACACACACACACACACACATATTTCCAGACTTTTAGTTGTAGGCTGTGGTTGATGGATCAAAATGAAGCAAAAAAAAAGAGTTCAAATTATTAATTAAAATATAATTTTGATGTAAATGTAACAAGTTTGAGGTGAAGTTAAAAACTGAAGATAAAATGTTTGTGAAATGTTTTTGTGCTCACTCATTAGCAAACATCGTACACACGTAATTTAGGTTAACGTATTTTGGAATTTAAGTAAGGCCTTATATCTGGTATATGTTTGGCAAAATATATGTTTGAAAATGTTTATTTTAATTAATTTATTTTTTGTATAAAGTTCATGAGTTATAAACATAATTAAACCATTTGCAGTATTTCCATGGTTCAAACTGGATGGACACACCCTGACTGTGGACACTTGCTGTCCTCTCATCGTTCCTTGTCACCAGTTCCTGAAGGGGGGGGGGAGGGCAGGGCAGGGAATGCTGACTAAGGGCATGTCTGTTTAATATTCCATTTTTCTTCAGCAGTGAAGTGTTGAAACACTGCCCATACCTATCGCTCAAGACTATAATGGGAACCGGAGACCGCCAGCTACAAACATAAATATCTGTGGATATTGTACTGTAACACACAACCAGCAACAGATCAATACAGGGCAGGGGAGAGGGGGTGGGGGGGTCTAGAAACAGAGAGATAAAAGGTGATGAGAAAAGCGTCCTCAGGTCGTAGTGGTTGTTACCAGGACACTCGGCCAGGTCTGCACTCAGACGCTCTGACAGTGAAACAAGGCACAAGTCAAAGGTTAGAGGAGAAATCTATTTTGGCCAATTAGTAACTTCTGCTGCCGAGGAGAGAGGAATTCAATGGTTTAAACCACAATCCAAACGTAACTTTAATTTATATTTTATTATTGGTATTATTTTAACATTCATTCAAAGGCCTGCTGGCTGGTGTAACAACAGAGGCTTTGGTTCCTCTATTCTAACACATCACAGCTCACTAAGCTGCAGCCGCACTAGTTCAAACATTTCATTTGAACAAATCAAATGTGTCAGAAGTTTAATAGGGTTTTTTTTTAGTTTTTTTTTTTTATTATTATTATTACAAAGAGCGGCTCTGTTTAGTCTTAACTTAACTGAAAAGACTGACAGCTCCTGTGCAGGCAGAACTGTTCTTAGTTCCATTAAAGTGTGCTCTGTCTATAAACCTGGTTTTCTGTGAAGTTATGAGAATGAATTTGATCACAGATACTGGACTTGGTTGAACAAGAAACAAAAAGATGCAGCCAAATAAATAAAAAGAATGTACTTTGTTTAGTTACGGTTACTGTAAACTCACGTTTGAGTAGCATGTTTGACAGTAACAATGTTGTAGAAGCAACAACACCAGAAGGAGCAACGTTATTGCTGCAGTGTATCACTCTAGTAGTGAAATGTGTTGCTGGAAATATTCCAGTCTGTCTTCTCTACTGTTGACAGCTGCACCAAATACAGGCTGAATAAAAAAAGACCAGATATACAGTACAGGCTCCACTGTACCCAGGTCACATCTGTGTGGTAAAAGTATTCACACCGCAGCACGATGTTGACCCCGAGTACACGCTGAACACTGAAGAAAGTTGAATAAAAACCAGGAGTCAGAACTGTCTTGGCCTTTTCTGTGAACGTTTATGGGACACTTAAATATGAGAAAAACAAGAATCCTGTGGCACCTGAAGAAGCCCGGGTTCTTGACAAAGTTGTGTAACTCCGCGACAGCCTCTGTGTATGCCGTCAAAGCAGTCGGAGCAAAAGGAGGACACTCCGAATACGCTCCGAAATCCATGCATATTTTTCAGGGGTTCCATTTTTTACTTCGGCTGTACAGCTCTTATAGGTGTTGGCAATAGAAATAGATTAAATATACTCAACTGGTAACCGCTATATGCCCTGATATAAAATGTAAAACTTCCTGTACATCTTGAACTTCTTGTAACCACATGCTTTTTTATACTTTTAACATTTACCTGGCCAATAAAATTGCAGCATATTATCATTGTCAGGTTAAATCTTTATCTGGTGGTTCACAATGTTGTGAACTTAAAGCCATTAAGTACATTATGTTGCAGTAACTGAGTAAAGCATGGTGGTGGAAATTGGTCTTTGCCTAAATTACTGAATACAAAATCACTGCAGTAGAAAGGATAAAACCAAACCTTCATCGGGTAAAATTAAAACATCGTAAAACAATCTTTTAGAGAACTGCAGTAAGAAACATGGTGCTCATTTTTAGCAGCTTCTTGTCAGAAACGATGGCCAAAGACCTGCAGCGAGGCCTATTCGACAACAGCACGAAAAAACACTTGGTCCCTTGAAAATAACAGGCTGCAAGAGACTGGTAGCAAAAGTTACTTCAAGGCCACGTTGAAATCAGCACCACGGATAGCTCCCTCGTCTTTTAACATGTAGGCGGAGGATATAACGACTCAAACTGATACAAAATCAGCACCATAGACAGCGTCTAATTTTCTCACAGGATAAAATGTTTTGAACGGATACAAAATCAGCACCATGGACAGTCCCTCATTTTCCACTGTGTGGACAGGTCGAAGATGTTTTCTGGATACAAAATTAGTAATACTGAAAGCACTCCCTACGTCTAATGTGTATGCACTTAGACAAAAAACCTTCAAAGGGATAAACACCAGCACCATGGACAGCTCCTGGTGGAACGAAGCTGCTTCTAACAGATCAAAAACCTCAGCTGCCCGTTGCTTTCTCGTATGTAAACAGAGAAACGACACACGATCAGCACCATGGACAGCTACCCATTTAGACGCGAAATCGCCCAGGATAAGTGGCAGCCTTTACAGACACACAAACCATCAACAACCCCTTATTTTTGGACGCCTGGGTCGTGGAACAAAATGTTTATTGAATGGAAATAAAATAAGCACCATGGACAGCGTGTGTATTTTCAAATATACAGAAAACAACATCCAATAAGTGTAATAATATTCACAATAAATAAACACAAATATTTAAAGAAAACTGCAAATTGTTTAAGAGGAGGACTGCAGTGTGAGCTCACACTATCTACCACAGAGCAGCACATTCTCAAACATCACGGATCACATATGGCCTTTGATTTAAACAAAGTTATGGAACTCACACAAAGTGGAGCAAACACAACTCGGAGTTGTAGAACAGCTCTTTGGTCTCACTCTACTTAGTATCTAATTCTATCTATAGGCGTTCTTGAGGATTTTCTTGGAAGTGTCATCGTGGGCTCCAGGGCCCTAGTTTGAAATCAGCACACCTGCCCTCTCAGTTTGGTGAGATTAGAAAGGATGAGCGCAGGCTTGAATCAATAGTGCATCATGTGTGTTTTATTCACGCTGCCTTGTGCCTGCAGTGACCACCTACAGTACGTTTAGACATTGTGCTTAAGAAGACGGCAGCTCTGCGTTCAGAAGAGTAGAAGTATGAAAGTACCTTTTTAACCCTGTAGATCTTTCTCTGAGGCCTTCTTCTCTTTCCCGCAGCTAGGATGTACTGGCTTCTAAAGGGCTGAAAATGTGACTTCGATTTTGTAGAGGGTAATCAATCAACTTTACATTGAACAGATCCGAAAGGTTTTATGTGGGAACAATTTTAATTGGAGATCAACATTTTTCTAGAATATGTTTGCCATGATAATATTTGATAACACTTAATTTTGGCGCGTAGTACTACTGCCTTCTTCTACTCCTTCTTGCTGACAGTAATATTCTATATATACAAATATAAACCTATTTATGTAAACATATATATATAAATATATAAATGAGCGAGTACAGTATACATATAAATATATATAAATATATATATAAAGACAGATATATGAATTAGGGATGTATTGATGCATCACAAATAGGTTAACAATGGATACAAATGCATGACAATTCGCATCGGTTAAATTAAAGAAATGAATCTCACACCAAGGCGTAGAGAGTAGGCAGCAACATTTTCGTCATTGGTCATACCGTGAGACTACACAGTATAGTACACTAGGTGGCGGTATGCATCTAAAAACGTTAGTTGAGACCTGCTATTAAACCAAGACACAAAACATTTAGTGTTTAGTTGTTTGTTTGTTTTTTGGAGGAATGATGGTTCTCCAGGACAGGATGTAGGAACCGCTCACATTTTTGTGCATTTAATGAATTCCTCATGTCATATCCTGCCCTAAAAATAATGGGAACGAGCGGGCTAATAGCTTGTTAGCTTGTCATACTTGCTACTGTTTGTTTTGTTGGTGAATTGTTCAGATAATAAATAAATAAATAAAGGAAACAGGATTTCCAATTCTGAAAAAGTCCAAGGCTTTTGGGTACGAGGTAGAATCGAACCTGGACACAAACATGATTGCAAAAAGGGCAATTTGAGCCATAAATGCCTAAAAGAAATAAAAACGTCCAGCCAGTCAAACAGCTGCTGATTCCCTAACATCCCATTTAAATGAACATAAAAAAACCCACATGTTTAAATCCCAACAGAAATAGAGAAAACTGACCACCGGTGAATTGTAAAGCGTCTAAAATAAGGATTAGTAACCGTGACTTGGCATTGGAGATTACTGACTGTGCTGCTGCTGCTGCTGCTGCTGCTGCTGCTGCTGCCCTGGCTTCAGGAAAGCTTCGTTAAACCTTTAAATCTACTCGTCCATCCTGAGCTGCCTCCCCGAGACTGCAGGTACGGCTGGTCTGTGAACTTAAGAGACAGGAGTTAGACTAAAAGCTAGAGTGCAGGAAAAGGTGAGAGGAACAGGAGCCAACATAAGTTAAGCATGTCAGACCATTAGGTCCAATGTTTCACAGCGGGCGTCAACAGTGATGAGTGAGAGAGAGAAGTCAGTTCCCTATTGTAGCAGAGAAACTTTTCCGTCTTTGTATTTTTTGTTTCGTTCTTGGAAGATATAGTGATGGAATGGAAGTAATCAGAGAATAGATCTCAATAAAATTGTAAATAAAATGAACAGAATCGGAAAACACCAGCTGTCCGTCTGCAGAGCTGCAGAAGAGCCGCTGTCCCTGAGGTTTGAATAACAAAGATCAAATCGAAGAGAACAAAATGTTACAAAACTGATTGAAATGATTTCTGCTTTTCCTGACGCTCAAAGAAACATTTGAAAAGAAGTGAAGCTCTAATGACCCAAAACAGGTTCTGACCTGGTGCCAAAAACAAAGAAAGAATTCTGTGATGGAAATATCACCTGCAGAAGTCTAGACCTAATTAGAGGATGTGTAGAGAGAAGATATTTCAGAATTAAAAGATTTGATTTTATTTAGTTCCTTTTAGAACTTTAGACTTTCCCACCATAATGTACAACTATAACCAAAAATAACCATGACAGTTGGTTCACAGATGGTTGTCGTTAGAGATGAAAAATTCACAGAGGGAGGGTTTGATAATTAACGACTAAAGTAGTTTAGATTAATAATATTTGTAGTAGACTCTTTGTGTGTATTTCCATCACATAGGAGCGAGTGACTCCACATTTTATTTAGTAATAATGTACTTCTGGTGCTGAGGTTGACTGAGACAACACAAGGTCTCAGAGATGAAGACATGAGAACCCAGGGCAGGGGGCAGTTAACAGTTGTTAAGGTGGTTGATGCATATGTTGCCCTGTTTGGTTGATTCAGTGCAGAAAAAAACTGTTTTCCCATTCGTCCAACAGACGTCTGAAGGATAACGGCTCCAATCCTTTTTGTCCACTTTCTGCAGCATGTTGTTGGAAGAGAGTCTCACATAGATCATTGTCCCCCGAGTGCTGGAACTGATAACCTGAGCAGATTTGATCCTATCTTTTGGCGGCGAGTGCGATCCGTCTAAAAGACCAGTGTTCCTGTTGCTTCAGTGTGAAGCACTCAGTGTGAGGAAAGGCACAAAAGAAAAATCTACTGTGAAATCCCTGCTGTGAAAAACCTGGGAAACAATCAGGAGTCTGCACTGTCAATGTAAAGTGAACACATTTAGTGCTTCACACTGTAGAGCAGGAACCAGACTGACTGGGTACTAACCAGTGCAGGAGATCCAGAAATAGCCCTTTTATATTTACTGCATTAATCTTTCTCCATTCCCCTTTGAGACATCACACTGGGGGTAAAATCCAGTTATTCTTCCAATGAGACTTTCTTTAGTCATAATATATTACCCAGGCGTTGCATTACACAGTGTATATGCTTGAAGAGCCGGGTTTGTTCATAAGGCACAGGCATTTTATTGCGTACCAGTCCACAGCACTGAGAGCTTTAGAGTGTGTACGGAGGAAATATCCTCTATTTTGTGTTCATTGTCCAATTCTGCTGTAGATACATGACTCATAAATACAGGAAAAGCAATATTCAACCGCATTGTTCAGATGTACCAGTGCAGACAGTTAGGAGTTTGCACAGCAGGGACACATACAGTATAGGCAGAATCATATTGACTTTTAGATACTTTCTCTTTTCCAAAAGTATAAGTGTAGCACTTCTTTCAAGCACTGTGTTGGTAGGAGTTGGCTGAAACTTCACGATGGACCACAATCAATCGTGATTAATCACAACTAATCATGACTGATCACAATTAATCGTGAACATAATAAACCACAATAAATTAAGATGAAGTATAAGTATAAGTCTTGTGCATCTTGACAGTGGCTTGTTAAATAAAGTTGAGCGTTGCTTTAAAAACTATTTGTTCTGGTCATGATTATGTCACTGTGAAGAGATCACAGTCCTACTCTTGCAACATTCTGTGCTTGGTTTAGTGTCTAACCTACAGGTTACATGTCTTTGAACATGTCTTTGGAAGGTGGACCAACCACATGCAAACTCCATACAAAAAGACTAAAACCGGATTAGAACCGGCGACCTTCTAACCACCTACTGCTGACAACATGCCTAAATCCACTGCTGCTTAAACATGAGGTATGAGTTTAATAGGTGGAAGTTAAAGGACAAGGTGACTGTTAACTGGCTAACCACAATTAGCACGAAGCAGCAATATATTCTGATGATGACGGCTAATTACTGGTGTTGTTGGCCTGCAGACATCAGACTTTATTTTTAATCTACTTCTGGAGAAATGAGTGCCTTCAGTCATTTGTGAAACATTAGCTGAGTTTCAGGGAAACCGAAGCTTTGGCTTCAGCTTTAGTGTCCATTGCAAGAGAACGGCTCTTGTTGACCACTGCTGTCCAAGGCCTGTCCTCAGTACAACACTCGGGCTCTTTGATTTGACTCAAGGTCGTGGTGAGCTTTAATAGGTGGAACTGCAACCCTCGCCTCGGATGGGTCTGTCATGGCGTCACCTTACAGTCAGTCAACACAGTTATTAGTCCTTCTCCAGTCCACTTTCAGATGACACTCTGACATCGAGGGGCAGGCTGATGGATTAACTAGAGGTGAAATAGAGAGAGAGAGTGTGTGTGTGAGAGAGAAGAAGGTTCTGGGTTTGAGCAACTGACACAATAAAACAGACTTTCTTCCTGATTTTTTTCTTCCAGACTTTTTCTTCCTAATTCATCACGGAAAGTTTCAACAGCATGAAATAAGGGTGAAAAGCTGGGAAATCTGCCCTCATTGTCTAAGTAGTGAGTTGTAGGAACAATCGCAATAATTATAAAATGTATTGTGTAGTAAATGGTGCTAAGTAGTAGGTGGTAGTTCTAGTAGTAGTAGTAATTTGAAGTAGCAGTAAGTAGTTTAGTAGTAGTGGTAGTACTAATTAGTGGTAATAGCTAGAAGTATGCGGCACATCTGCCTTACACGAAGAAGGTTCTGGGTTTGAGCCTCGGAGGAACTACTTAATACTTAATACTTAACAGCGCCTCCGGTGGTGGCCTGCTTGGGTTGTAAAGACTCACACTGTGAATTTCCGTGTAGAGAGACAAATAAGGGACTTCAATATTTTGTAGTAAGTGGTAGTTGTAGCAGTAAGTAGTAGACGGGAGTTGTTTTTGTTAATGTTAATGTTATAACGGTGTGATGTCATTATTAGCTATAATAGTATTGCACACTAATAATAAGTAGTAACAATAAGAGTCAGTTCGGCTGTCCTGAAGACACTGTTCGCCAGCTGACAGTGAAACGTGGCAGAAAATCTCATCCAATCACATAAACCAAACCATGACCTCCCGTCCCAGGACTTTAGATCATTTGCGTGAAATAACATATAGGAAGGAAAATGACGGCAGGGCAGTTTTTACATCTCACTTGCAGGAAGTCATGCTTCAGTATCATCTGCCAATTACAGACATGGTTCACCTCTGTTGGCTTAACCATTAACTCTAATTCTCCAAGAAAAAAAGAAGAAGATTAATTTGATTTTCTCCGGCTTTAAGGGAAGGTCGGCTCTGTAACGTATTCACATTTTTACAGGATAAGAGAAGAGAAGCAGCTTCAAAGGAAGCCTTAACCCCCGAGGGCAAATCCTTGTGGACATTTTTAATTAGGCTCGATTGCTAAATTATGTACACCACATTTAACACAACAAACACATTTCCCAAAGTTGAGGGGGAGTGTTCCTAACGTGTAACGTGTAACGACAACACGATGACAGGATTATGTCTGTCCATGAGCTAAAAGCTAAATGTGCTATGAAAGTTGTTTGTGACATCACTAAAAGTCTCTCTGTAGAAGCGCCAAGTCGTGACGATACCGATGACGGTCTGGATTTAGAATCTACCGATCAAAACCGATCAGTACGGACAGTGAACGTCGACGTCGCCATTAAATCTCTATGGCATCTGGATGGATACGTACCGTAAATAAGGCTCACAGGTACAGGAGGGATACATCATTCTGCTGTTTGCATACCAAGGACAGCATGTGTGAGTGTTTGATGCAGACACGTAGGAAGGGGGCGCTGTTTCTGCGGGTACTCTGTCCCACTCACGCCGTTGACAGCTGGATGTTGTTGCATTTAAGGACCTATGTAGGTTTATGAAAATCCTTGAAAATCCTTGAATTATTTTGAAATATTTAAAGGTTTGAAAGGGCTGAATCAATAGACCACACATTAAATGGAGAGAAAAAAAAAAACAACGACCCTGCTCTCTCTGCTGGGATTGGCACAGTGGTGATGGGATCGCTTGTTGTCAAGTGTCACGTCACCCCCCCCAATACTGTGTGCGGCGAACGAGGACGTGTGCGGCGGACCAAGGTGCCGGGACGTTGTCGCTTCACTGAACGTTGGCTGGAGAAACACAAATACAAATTACGACTAAAATGTGAATCAAATACACTGTTCCACTCCACAACTATAGAGTGATCTGATTTTCCAGCTTCAAACCCTGCACAACCTGTGTGCGCGTGACCGCAATGCGCGTGCACACACACGTTTCTGTAACAGTTTTACCAACGATGTTACATCAAGGGCATCTGCAATTAAGGTTCTTAATGACACTTGAAAACAAAAACTAAAAGATTTCCCTTTAAAGTTATTAAAAAGTACTTGAATTTGACCATGAATAAAGCACCACTGTATTAAACTGAAGAGCCATTTAACATTGTTGATGCTTAAAGTGTTATTATCTAAACCATAACAACAATCATAATAATCCTATTTTACAGAACTTTATCTCAGGTTTAATGTCTGTACTTTACAGCCTTAAATTTGAAGTAAGAAAATCATATTTTTTAGATTTAGGAATTTAAAAAATATAGTATAATTTGTAGTACGTATACTACATATACCCAGAAGCCACCCAGGTATTTTTTTCTGCTGAAAATATAATCACATGCAGTAAGTTCATGTGTACATCAATTTACAGTGGGAGAGAAATGGTTCACGGAGTATATTTGTCATACTGTCACCAAACGACAAGAACAAATGACCAAAACCAACAACACACCACAAATTACCCTAGTCCTCGGGGCGTGGGCTGTAATGTACCCTCATTAGAATAAACAAGAGTACTGTAGTACTGGAACACTGGGTGTTGACTGGATATGTAACCAGTACACATTTCTGACTGTTTGTTGTCACAACAAAAGCACAATTCCCAGCTGTTTGATGAATGGCCTGCACACTGACCCGTCTCCGTCGCTTCCTCTGCTCATCTTTGACTCCTTCAACACAAAGAAACCAGCAGAGAACCAGCAGTTTACACCGGCGTCGGTAGCATGAAAGACTAGGGTTCAATTCCCTAACAGGAAGATATTTCTGTCCTTCCTGGGGGCCCAGTGGTTAAAGGATTGTATTCCTAGGTTTGCCAGTTTGAATCCCAGCAGGACTGTCATGTGTTGGGCAAGTGACGTACCTCAGAGCAGCACTGAAGGGTTTTATATAGAGTGAAGTACCTGCAGGATTTACACCGCGTGATGAAATTTAAATATATAAATGAAATTAACATATGATCATGTAGGATTCTGGTAATGTACAGAGTTGGTATTTAATTTTATGAAGAGGTAAATATCTAAAATATCTTTGTCTGTTTGTCTTTTGTGACATTTATCTACCTCTTAGTTTCAATCTGACAAAACGTTTTATTTTAATCCAGGAGCTAACCTCAAAATAATTAAGACTAACGGTACATTCAGCAGAGGGTAGAATTAAAAAAAAAAATTATACAATTTTAACATTTTGTTTTTGTTCACAGTTAAACACCTGACTGATGAAAGTGTCAAAACAAATCCAAATCATTTACTCCTGCATATGTACAGCACCGACTGTCAACCTGACGGCCAAAACTTTTCTTCCCAAATAGCTTCTCAACACCCATCTCGGACGTCAGCCTCTGCGAGCTGAATAAAGATTTGTTGCTCGCTGTCAGCGGGGACGGCTCCTGTGAATGGTTAAGCTGTTTTGTAACCAGACGACACTTTGTGCCAGTCACTTTATTTGACACGCAGCTCTCCGCTCACTTTCAGCACCACTGCACAGTGACAAACACTCCAGCTTTTCATTCCCAAACCACGTCACGAGTTTGTGCTCACTTCTTATCTTTGTCGATGAAGGATTAGAACAACTTTTATGACTGGTGCCAGAGCTGCTGGATATTGAATGGTAAAACATCCTGGCTGCTTAAAGTGAATGTATTTTACCTTGAAATTGTTGTACACACCAAAAAGCCTCAGAACAGTCTGTTTAAATAACACATTACATGTTGTTAGCAGCTTACCAACAGTTTGCGTCACCATGCGCTATCCCATGCACCGCTACATGATTGGCTGAAAAGAAACACTTTAGAGATCACTTAAAAAGAGCAGGGTCCACATCATGTCAAGCTAATGAATGCGCTAAGACGACAAACGGATGAAAGCTGGAGTTAATGTACTTTATGATGGGTTATTTTTTTTCCGACTCCCCTAAAGGAAATTAGCATCTGCATTTAACCCATCTATGACACACTTTAATGATTAACACAACACTGCACTCCTACAAGTTTGTTCACCAACTAGCCTTGTTCATGCAGGGATTCTAACTGCCATCCTCCTATAACAACCCAAATACTTTAGCCAAAAGCTGCTCAGTGGAATTATTCTAGAGCATATGTGTCAAACACAAGGGTCACAAGCCAAACGTGGCCCGTCAAGTCCTTCTGTGTGGGCCGCGGGAGCTTAAAAGACATTGAATTGCCTTAGAATCAAGTCCATGCAGCAGAGTTTCTTAACCTAAAAAAATTAAAGTTGTTTTTTTTTTTTTGCATCCATTAAAATGTTATGGACTAGTTGCACTTATACAGTCCCACAGTTACTACTGGTCTTTCAAGAGAAACTGTATTGTGGTCCCTTAGTAAAAATGAGTTTGGCAACCTCGTTCTCGAGGGTTTACATCTTGGTACAAAACTGGTCACTTGTCCAGCAGTGCTGACTGGTTTGTTTTTTTGTACTGGGTTGGTTGCATCTAAAGGTGTGTTTGAAAAACCAGTAAGAAAAATCTGTTTTCTTCTCCTAAATGAATTTATTCTAGTCAAGGATTCCCAGCAAAGACACACAATTATCCTACATCATCAGAGCGACCAGATGTCTGCACATGTGCTGAAATGGCCAAGGACAAGAGATGAAAACTCAGCCACTCCATTCGCCGTAGTTGTTATTAATTCCCTTTGGCCAGACTCATATTTTCAAAGAAAATTAATTCCGCTGAAAGATTTGATTTTGTAATAACCTAATAACATGCCACTGCCATGCTCGCTCGCCTGGAACTGATGGCAAAAACAAAATATTGATTGAAAGAGAGATACAAACCCCAGGGCTGCAAAAATCTAAATGTTCTTGTATTTCTTTTGTTTTTTTTCTTTTGTTTTCTTTCATTCGTAGACAAAGAAAAAAACAATTCATTTCAACAGGAGTTCCAAACTTAAGGAACAGTCTTTACTTGTCAGAAATATTTTCAGTTTGAATATACATACATATCTATACATTTTTGATGTCGTGTGATACTGTCGGTGAACTATACACAAAACTACACATTTACTCTGCTCCAGTCTGGACAGAAGTACTGTAGGTTGTCACTGTTGTACAGAAAAACAAAAATGCTGGTATTAAGTCTAGAATATGTTTTATTGAGGTCCCATTGGGTCCCTCTGTGTGTGTGAGTGTGTGTTTATTAGTGTGTGTGTTGCTTTTTTGTTACTCATTTGCGACAGTACCAAGCATCAGTAAATGTGCACCGAGCCTGTTCCTAAAGAGTTGGAACTTTTTTTAAGACTGTGGTTATTAATGGTTGTTGCAGCCAAGGGTTTATGTTACTGTATATAAAGTTCTGCTTTAACTGTGCAGTAACTGCAGGACTGAGAGACAATGAAGTCCTGAAATAATTATGGTTTAATATATGAGACAAATCACAACACATTTATACAATAATTAGTGCAATATACTGTACGCGTCGCCTCGTGCCTTAACGTAAAGTGGAGACTTTAGCAGAAAACCAGTCAGGGATTTTTCTGCAAACAGTAAAAGAGGAAACCTCTGTCCAGGCAATCATAAAAACGGGGTTTTTATTAGATATTTAATCATGTTATTAATGGCGTTTGGCCGCTTGATTAAAAAAAATGCACCAAATCTAAGCAAAAAGAACAGTGTTTCTCAGAGTCTGGGCTGGGCCACACAGGTGGGCCACGACAAATGGAAGAACATTTTAAAGATTCAATTGATGATGTCACGACAGCACTTTTATTTTCTCTTTTTAGAATTTTCTTTTTATTCGATGTTACTGAGTTTGATTCATTGTTAGATTTTTTGGGTGACAGGGAGAAGGTGATGCTAGAGCATCTCCACTTGCTCAAAGTGGGGAATGTGTTTTGTCTTGTTACACTGGGAAGCAGCCAGGACTCAAACGCAGCACCAGAGAGACAGAGATCAGATGAAGAAAGTTTATTCAACAACCAAAACAACAGAAACTCACCAGATGCAGGACCAGGCAGGAACTGGGAACCAGGACGATGACCAAGGACCACAAGGCATGGACACATGACAATGAGTGAGGCAGAGAGGTATAAAAACCCAGGGCACCAGGTGACACCAGTGAGACTAATGACAGAGACACAGGTGAGTGTGATCACACTGATTACTCCACACAGCAGGAGAGAAGGGGAAACAGACAGACCTCATAGATCGACCAAAAAAGTTTGAGAACCGCTGAAACACAATCTCAAAATAATGTCAAAACCCCACTGAAACAAGATATTACTGGCTACAATAACTATAACATCTAGTGACATTTACTGCACAGTAAACACATGAGCAACGATGTATGAATTGTCACATCATTTAAATAAGTCAGTTTTGCATTTTTTTTAAATGGATAAGATCAAATTAAAGAACCAAAAATGGATTCCCAGTTAAACTTGTTCCAGCACAGAGTCATTGACAGATTCATTTAATTCTCTGAACTCAAGTGAGAAATTGTCTTAATTGATTATTTGTAGCAAAACAATCCTAATGCTAGGCTAATATAACATTATAGCTAAAACCTGATGAAATGCTATTTGAGTCTCTTATTTGTCCCACAAAAAAAATTTACAGTGTCAGTTCTTGCAAATGACCCATGAGGCGCCACTAGGTACGTGGTTGCAACTCCTAGACTGCCACACAGGAGGCATCATTATGGATATGTGTGACTATGATTCTCAGTCATCCAGGTCACGGTCAAGGTTGAAGAGTTTTGTTGAGGATGGCAACGACACATAAGACTCCTAACGACTGTTTACACTTCCCCAGTTGACCCCAATGCCCCACCCAATAGGGGGGAGCTGAAGTAGCTTTATTTTTGTCACACCTACAGTATATATTTGCTGCCCCGCTCCCCCCTCCCCCCCAACCTGTTAGAACTGAATAATGGATGAGAGGTGAAACGTCTTCTTTGAGGACATTTCACGTCCAGTTGCCGAACAGAACTTTTCAACCTTATGGATATATGGTTCCTCTGGGAATCAAACCGATGACTCTATTCTCTCTGCCTGCTAACCGCTACATTATGGAACCACACAAATGTCAAAATGTCACACTCCTTTATAATGATCAGGGTCATAGAGCATAACACATCTAAAACACAAATTCTCGGCTCAGGTCACACTGAAAAGATCTAAACAAAAGACAATGAGAAGGGGCTCTGTGATGGTTTAGGGCTGTTTTTCATCCAGTAAAAATAAAAACTATTATCTGATGGTGAAAGAATTAGGTGAAACAACCAACACACACACATTGAACTGAACACTGAACACAGGCCACGTCCATAGAGCTACAACAGTCCATATTACACTCTTGGTTTCTAATGTGTTTTTGTCCTTCACGGTTCTGCAGGCACCGTACAGAACAGAACCTTTAAGTGCTTCTCCTTCAGTTCTTCTGACGCCATTGTGTTTATCCCTAAAACATCGCCCAACAGTCGCAGGCACTTTCTCAGTGAGGATCAAAGTGGATCAGTGTGTGGCCAAAGAAACGTTCATGCTGTGGGGTAAACAGGGTGGCTGTTGATTCCTTTAAAAGATAACAGAAATGGCCAACAGTGAAATCTCCAGACCTAGATATAATGATCCGTTTTTTTGGCCTTAAACAAATGTGAAATCATGGACATAGACTCAGTGAAAAGAATCAACAATAAAATATGTCTATTTTCAGTCATTAGGAGGAGGAAAACTGCTATAACTCTAGGCATGTAGTATCTAGAGAACTATTTTTATTTTAATACATTTTGCTTTGCTTTTTCTCACAGACACACAGACACACACGCACACGTTTTGTGTTTTGTCTTCAGCCAGTTAGTGGCGTAGTATTCTCCAGCTAACATAAGCTAACTGGCTAAGCTAACATAATTACGAGAAGAACATCAATTTCAATTTGCATTGTTTTCTTTATAGTAGTTATAAATATATCCACGTAAAACAACCGCTTAGCATTTTGGTCTGCAATACGCGGTCTTAAGATAACAAAATTACAGCCACCTTATGTTATGCTAAGTGGCTAGGCTAACATAATTACAGATTTACAGTTTGCCTATTCCTAATCCCAATACGCATCTCTAATCTGACCCAAATTGTAATTCATGCTTTAAACTAAATCTTTTACTTCAAAATACAACGTTCTGTGGCCGCCTGCAACATGTCCCTACGATGAAAGTGTCCCTGAAACAGTTGCAATTTTCAAAAACACTGTACCCACAAGTGTATCTATACCAGAAACACTTCTACACACACACACACACACACACACACACACACACACACACACGATCATTACTTGCAAAGGCCAACAATTTAGACTGAGAAATTCAAAGTGTTGGTTCAAAAATCAAAGTTATTGGTTTTTGTTGGAGTTTAAATTTTCACCGACAGATAATAACACAGAGCGGCGGAGCCTAAAAAGACACTCTGCACCGCCTCACAGATGGCTAGTTCTGATGTATAAAAACAAACAGGTGTCCAGCTTCATTCATATTTTATCAGTAGATATATATGAAAGGTGCGTCCCAACTCCTTCCACATCCTCCATTCCCCTTTACACTGTATGCAAAGGTCCTTAGCGTACCCTGTGGGCTGCTCGTAATGAGGAACTATGGCCTTATTAAACCTTAACGACAGGCGGCCACCTGCCTGGATGTCAACACCAGCTGAGCTCAGCCAATCATCAACGCAGAGAATCTTTTATTCACAGTACAGTGCTTAAGAAAAGCCCCCTCTCACCCCTCACTGGGGAACGACCCCTCTGTGATCTGAGCAGTGCAGAGGAACATGGGGCAATTTCAGTGAGTCACATGAAATGTTTGGCTAAGGAGACGCACGCTGTTATCAAATTAACCTCCTGTGGGATGTGAGAAAAGTGGCTGGATTTGGTGAATTAGAAAATGTAAACGATTCAAACGGGGCTCGGGCTCCGATACGATCAGCGTGGAGCGGCGTGAAGCCGACTGAAGAGGAGAAGAGAGGAGACAGACACAGCTTTGAAGACGGCCACGGAGACCACTGCAGGCAAGAGAACTCCACCTGGGACGTCGCAGGAAGGGGGGCTGGATCGTAGACCATTCGTGTATGAACTCTCACTGCTGCCAACCCACATGAGATATAATGCGTGTCAGTAGCAGTCAGATTTAGCCAATCAGCCCACCTCCCCTCGCCCCCTCCCTCCCTGCTCTCCCCTCCACACACACACAGCTGATGTTGACTATAAACAAATGGCCCTCATCCAGCCAGGTTTTCATTTGCCGGATTAATTCCAAATGGTATCTGAAGTGTGTCTGTTCTACTTAGATATTATTGTATTTAGTTTGCCACTGAATGTCGCTGACCATGTGAAATCTAATCCAAACCAGACTCAGAGCCGCAGCCCCATCGTAGCTCGTCTACCATTTTCTCTGGGTCTCCGTGTCTGGTCAGTGATGAATGCTCGGAGTCAGGTTGTAAACTCTGACCTATTAGTGTTGATGAATGGTCCCAGAGCCCCCTAACCTCCCTGGGTCGGCTACAGCGAGGTGTCCTGATCTGGCAGAGATAAAGACAAAAGGCTGCACCTTCTCAAGTTATTTTTGTTTTCTTTACTGTGCAAAGAAAGGATGTCATGTTTAATCAGTGCAGGTGGAGATGCTGCGTATTTACAAAACTTCATTTCCACAGACATCTGTACTCCTAAATACAAACTCAAATCTTCAATTTGGAAATGCACTTGGTTGTTTTTTTTTGGATTTATGAAAAAGCACAAGAATGTCTGTCAGTGTTTTCACTGTCCAAGGTTTTCCTTTTAATTTTTTCATTTTGGTTGCAACCTTTTTTACTACACTTTTCAAAAACTTCCAGATTCAAATTTTCAAATCAATTTGTTGCCGTCCTTGTTTTATTTGTACCTTCCTTAAAAAAACAAATTAAAAAAGAAGACAGCCTTTTTTAATTTCTAGAAATCTCACAGCAGTTTCCAGGTCCTGTATAGCACAACATAGTTCTAAAACTGTACAGAAGGGGTCACCAACAGTATTTGTCTTTTCTCTCTCTTTTTTTTTTTTACAGGCTTAAATAAAATGAAATAAAAGTCACATTTTTTTAGTCTAACATTATTTTTTCATACTGAATTGGGTCTGTGAGCCGCTCGGTGACGATCACTGCTGCAACGGCTCAAAAAATATTGATTCTTGACCCAAAGTTTGTTTAACGCCGCAGCCTCACAGTGATGAGTTCCAGGAGAGGTCAGTTAAGGTCAATGTTTTTTTCTTTTAAGTTAAAAAAAAGTTTATCAAGTGCTAATTTTGGGTAGCATTCTTAATGGTCTGTACAAATCACAGTATTTTATATATTCTGTAGGGTTAATTTTAGGTTGTTATTTTAGACCGGTGTTTCTCAATTATCTCCTAGCGACCTCTAGGGGACATAAGTTTGCATTGCTGGCATCAGCATTGTGCATTATCAAAATAGATTCATAAAATGATAACATCCGCAACAACCTTTTCTTTTCCCCTGTGACACCTGACTCCGTCCCCCTGGGGAACGCGCCCCACTATTTGAGAAGCACTGCTTTTGACACATATTACTAAATGCTTGTTACCTGACCCACAGCTGTACTGTATTTGCTAAGGTTTTCAGTGTTTGTCAGATGGATGCATGAGTTAGTTGAATCTTTTCTATCAAATCCTACAGATTCAGATGCCAGATGGTCAAAGGGATTGTCGCTGTTGACAGGACTGCATACGTGCTTAGCAATGACGTGACCTGTGACTCAGTCTTCCCAGGGGGATGTGGAGCAGAATAAAAGCCGTCACAGAGGCATTCTTTCCTCCAGAGGTTGTTTTTTTTTTGCCCTTGTGTTTCCAACAGCCTGGGGGCCTTCACTGGAGGCTTACCCCAGCCAATCCAGGGTGTAAGTTTCAGATTAGCAGCCTGAGAGAAGCAGAGTCGAGCAAAGCTGAAGCTTTTTTTTATTATTATTTTATTTTCTTAAAGATCTACTCTGGCTTTGAGGAATTTGAGCAGGGCATCCTCGGGGCTCTGTGTGTGTGTGTGTGTGTGTGTGT